ATGTGAGAGACATGGGGTGTGAAGGGTGTTGTGCACACACACTCATCTTGCCAGTGTGAGTCAATAGGAAGCATAATTGGTAAAACTGTCAGTTTTAAGAAATGCAATGATACCACACTAACATACCATGATTTCGCTCTCACATACGCCCTGTGTGGAACATGTAGGAAGCAGGGTAATGGGACGAAGAGGAGGAGGAGGCAGCTGATAAGGAAAGGGAGACCTCGTTCATCGGGGTCTCGCGCTAAGAGGATTACAGAGCAGCCTGCAGAGTTGGCGGGAATAGCTGGTTACAGTTACACCTCCTCTTAAACTCCTACATGAGAACACAGGAGCTCCTCTGAGGCGTGGAGGTGACAGCTATCTGCAGATATATTCTGCAGGATGCTGGGATTCCCCGATGAAGAGGGGGGTATACTTTGGAGAGAGAAGAGCTGTGAGGATTATAAGTGTGTAAAAGGAGGTGAGATCTGATGACGGGGTATTCAGCTGAGACAGCAGAGAGAGATTAGACGAGGAGGGTGATCTCCAGGAAGAGGCTCTGTCATCAATGAACTAAGACTAAGATAATATATCTACAAACAGTTGGTTGAATGACACATTTGTAACCTGAAAGAAGAAGCTAGCGACAACAAAGAAGGAGACAGGTTCAGACATGAGAGGAAAAGGTAGGAAAAGAGAGGAATAAACGAAATGAGAAAGGATAAGAAAAGTATAGGGGAGATGAAGCCATAAAATAAGAGAAGAGGAGCAAAAACCAGTTGGGTATAAAATAGGAGGATTCATTTGAGGAAGAGGAAGGCAAGAACAAGAGAAGAAGTTAGGCAAGGAGACAAGAAAAGGAAATAAGGGGGGAGAAGGATAACACATGTTGAATGAAGAGAAGAGACAAATCCAGTAAGGATGGAAGAGGATGACGAGGTGAACAAGAGAGACGATGAGAGAAGAAAAGGGGAGATACTAGAAGAAAGGAGAAGACAACTAAAAAGAGGAGAAGAGAAGTGAGGAGGAAACAAGCAAGAACAAAAGAGGAGGAAACAAGAAAAGAAAAGTGAGAAATAGAGAAGGGAAAAAAGAGAAGAGAAGATGAAACATTAAGGAGAAGAAAGGAAAAATATGAACGTACAAGATAATACAGAGAGGAGAAGAGAAACAAGAAAGGAAGAGTAAACAGAGGAGGAAACAAAGGAGGAGAAGGAGGTGGAAGAGTTGCCCAGTCAGCATTCAGTGTGAGAAAAGTATCATCCATAAATGATGATGCGACTCATTGATCTGAACCACAGACTGCTTCTCGTCTGTCAGGAGAGTGTCAGCGACTTCAGCAATCTCCTATTAGTCACACATTACAGCACTGTGTGGTTCTGACTTTTGCTCATTTCAGACGGCGAATAAAAAGACTTCCTGGTGACTGAACACAAGAGTCTTGTTATAATGGGATACTGAGCAGGAAGTGAAAACGGCATAAAACAGGAAAATTTGTGCCTGATGCGGAAAACTGGATGTGTTCAGATCTCATATTACTGGTGTAATAATGCAACACACACACACACACACACACACACACACACACACACACACACACACACACACACACACACACACACACACACACACACACACACACACACACACACACACACACACACACACACACACACACACACACACACACACACACACACTAGTAGACGACACGACGA